ATATGTAAACATAGTTGATGCCTATTTATTTACTTAATAATCAACCCCAAGCTCAGTCTTTAAATGCTCTTTGAGAAACAAGAATCGTCTTACATCTGGCAGGGAAGATACAAACAAATACACCTCGCCATGCGTCCCACTACTATAAGGTAGTTTATTCAGCTCAATTTGACCTCTGGTTTCCAATTGAGGAACCCAGGGTCGTAACACCTGTCACCCCTCCAATATTTTCCTGTTTCCAGAACAACCTCTTATGTGGAACTCTGTCGAAAGCCTTTTTTAGGTCCAGATAGATGCAGTCAACCCAACCATCTCTTTCCTGTAATATCTCTGTGGCTCGATCATAGAAACTGAGTAAATTCGATACACAGGATCTTCCAGATCGAAAACCATACTGTCTGTCTGATATTATATCATTTCTCTCCAGGTGTTCTACCCATTTAGTTTTGATTAGTTTTTACAATACTTTCACTATTACACTTGTCAATGATACAGGTCTATAATTGAGGGGGTCTTCCCTGCTGCCAGTTTTGTAGATTGGAACAATGTTAGCCTGTTTCCACACGTCTGCTACGATTCCTGTACACAGGGATGCCTGAAAGATCAGGTGAAGTGGAATGCTGAGCTCAGATGCACATTCTCTCAGGACCCATGGTGAAACTCCATCTGGGCCAGCTGCTTTGTTCTTACTGAGCTCCTTTAGCATATTTTCCACTTCAACTCTAGACACTTCTATCCGCTCTATGTTGTTCTCTGGAATTCCTATTGTGTCTGGTTCTCTGAAAATTTCATTTTGTACAAACACACTTTGGAACTTTTCATTTAATGTTTCACACATTTCCTTTTCATTTTCCGTGAATCTGTTTCCCATTTTCAACCTCTGGATATTATCCTTTACCTGCAATTTGTTGTTTATGAATTTGTAGAATAGGCCCGGTTCTGTTTTACATTTATCCGCTATCCCTTTTTCAAAATTTCTTTCTGCCTCTCTCCTTACTGCCGTATTGTTATTTCTCGCATCTTTGTATCGCTGGTATGTTTGGGGATTTCGCCTCTTCCTATACTAATTCCATTTTTGTGTCTTTTGGTCTCTGGCCCTCTCACAATTTCTGTTGAACCAATCCTGTTTTCTGGCCCTGCATCTCTGTTTTGGTATGAATGTTTATGTGCCTTCGTCATATATTTTAAAAAATTTGGCATACATTTCATTTACTTCCCTGCCTAGGAACAAGTCTGTACAGTTACACTCATTAAAAACATTGCTAAGTTCCCCATAGTGACCTCTCCTTAAATCGAGTTTATCAACTGTTTCAATGTCCCCATTTTCTTCTAAACGATATCTTAATGCATAATCAATGTCTAACAAGACGTGATCACTCTTTCCCAAGGGAGGAAGGTACTGGATGTCAAATATCTCTTCTTCTTTCCTGGTGAATACTAGATCCAGTACTGACGGTACATCTCCTTCCCTCATTCTTGTGGCCTGCTTTATGTGTTGATACAAGAATGTCTCCAGAATGAGGTTCGCAAATCTGCATGTCCAAAAGTCCTTTGTTCTTGCTTCATAAGCCTCCCAGTCTATTGCTTTAAAGTTGAAGTCCCCCAGTATCACCAGTCGTGATTTATCCTTATCTGCTTGTACAATAATATCTCTGTGTACAGGAGTTGTAGCTGATGTGTGGAAAAAGGCTAACATAGTTCCAATCTACAAAAGCGGAAACAGGGAAGACCCCCTTAATTATAGATCTGTATCATTGACAAGTGTAATAGTCAAAATATTGGAAAAAATAATTAAAACTAAATGGGTAGAACACCTGGAGGAAAACGATATAATATCAGACAGACAGTATGGCTTTCGATCTGGAAGATCCTGTGTAATGAACTTGCTCAGTTTTTATGATCGAACCACAGAGATTTTACAGGAAAGAGATGGTTGGGTTGACTGCATTTATCTGGACCTAAAAAAGGCTTTCGACAGAGTTCCCCATAAGAGGTTGTTCTGGAAACGAACATATTGGAAGTGACAGGTAAGCTACTAACAAGGATGAAAAATTTCCTAACTGACAAAAATGAGGGCCGTAATCAGAGACAAGGTATCGGATTGGAGGAATGATACGACTGGAGTACCACAGGGTTCAGTTCTTGCACCGGTAATGTTCATTGTATACATAAACGATCTACCAGTGGGAATACAGAATTACATGAACATGTTTGCTGATGATGCAAAGATAATAGGGAAGATAAGAAACCTAGATGATTGTCATGCCCTTCAAGAAGACCTGGACAAAATAAGTATATGGAGCAACACTTGGCAAATGGAATTTAACACTTTGGCGTGCCCCGCGCGCCACCCCTCAACTGTGCGATTTGGGTCCCAGCGTTTCACGGGAGCGCACATTAATTCTGAAAAGTGTTTACTCTCCAACTTTGTCACCTTAATTTTCGTCCTACAAGATTAAATTTGGCATCATTGTGTTCGCAATAGAATTCTCTATAGCACTAAATGCATATAAACTCCAAAAGCCCGGCTAATTACCCGCAGCAAACAGAGAAAGTGCGAACGAGTTACCCAGGAGCGCGCATAAGCGATAAAATGTGTTCACTCTTTTCACTCTGGTTACCTCAATTTTCGTCCTAGGTCTTTCATTTTGGTATCAATGGGTTCGCAACAGAATTCTCTAGAGGAACATTAGCATATAAAATAAAAAACCTGGTCACGCTCCACCCGCCGACGAGTTGAAGACGGGCCACGCGTTAACCGCGAGTAAGCGCCCAGATGCCTTCCAGCTACGCTCCCAATTCCTGCCCACAAATGTTTAGTATTTAGTATTTTTGTATATGTAGTATGTATTATAGTTAGTATTTTTTGTGTAGTAGTTGTACATCACATAAGCATTGTAGATAGCCATTTGCACAAAATAGATGGTCATTTTCTTCGTCCATTTGTGAGTTTTCCTTATGAAGTAATAATATTTGATCATTTGGTCAAAGTGATCAACACCTTTCATGTTTGTATTGTAGTCACAGATTGCATTTGGCTTGTTGACAGTTACCAAACAGTCCCAAAAAATTCGGATAAAAACCTGAATTTTGGAAATTATTTTAGTGGATGACGCAATGCTGCACCATCCCGAGATTACCGACAGTAAACAGATGACGCAATGCTGCGTCATGCCCAGACTAAAGTGTTAATGTGAATAAATGCCATGTTATGGAATGTGGAATTGGAGAACATAGACCCCACACAACCTATAAATTATGAGAGAAATCGTTAAAGAATTCTGACAAAGAAAGGGATCTAGGGGTGGTTCTAGATAGAAAACTGTCACCTGAGGACCACATTAAGAACATTGTGCGAGGAGCCTATGCTACACTTTCTAACTTCAGAATTGCTTTTAAATACATGGATGGAGAAATACTAAAGAAATTGTTCACGACTTTTATTAGGCCAAAGCTAGAATATGCAGTTGTTGTGTGGTGCCCATATCTTAAGAAGCACATCAACAAACTGGAAAAGGTGCAAAGACATGCTACGAAGTGGCTCCCAGAACTGAAGGGCAAGAGCTACGAGGAGAGGTTGGAAGCATTAAATATGCCAAAACTAGAAGACAGAAGAAAAAGAGGTGATATGATCACTACGTACAAAATAGTAACAGGAATTGATAAAATTGACAGGGAAGACTTCCTGAGACCTGGAACTTCAAGAACAAGAGGTCATAGATTTAAACTAGCTAAACACAGATGCCGAAGAAATATAAGAAAATTCACCTTCGCAAATAGAGTGGTAGACGGTTAGAACAAGTTAAGTGAGAAGGTGGTGGAGGCCAAGACCGTCAGTAGTTTCAAAGCGTTATATGACAAAGAGTGCTGGGAAGACGGGACACCACGAGCGTAGCTCTCATCCTGTAACTACACTTAGGTAATTACACTTAGGTAATTACACACACACACAAAAAAAAAAAAAAAAAAAGGAGACGGATCCATGACCGAGGTGTAATCCAGGTCTCACAGGATTAATCGCAAGAGCCTCCCATACCTCCTTAGGAGGGATTCGAGAAGCCGAAATCCTCCAGAAAGAAGGAACCGAAGAACCCAAGGGAACCCGGAACCAAACCCAGGGAGAAGTAGAACGTGGAGAGTATTGCTACTGACAGATATGCAGTATGTGTGTCACATACCAATATGTATACAAATATTATATTCTTTGAACAATAAAACAATTTTTTTCAATTATTTCTCTACATACACTCATATATATCCAACTTTTTTATGCATGATAAAGAACAAATAAGCAGTTCTGGTGGGTGTGGTGATGAAATCAAAACATAACATGGAGCTCACGGTACGAGCAGATGATGCCTCGGCAAATGTCACCTGATCCAAGAAAATACCTCCAATATATTACGCACATCGTTAAAACTAGCCACACAACTGCTATTATCACATATCTCTAAATCCTGAATATGAATCTGTTTCCACAAGGTTATATTCTAAAGGAGTTTGAGGTCATTTCATGGTGTGTACATGCACGAAACAATGGCTTAGTGCTGTGGCTGTCTGCCTAATGTTGTGAACATCATAACTAGCATTGTGTTCACTGATATCAGAACATTGTACATTAGTCTTCCTCACAGTTAGGATCATCTAAGGCACTATCAAAGCAAAATAGTTGCCTTTACTTATTTTATTTATCATTTTACATGGTGCTGTGGCTCCTAGCTGCACAGGGGTGCTATGAGCTCCTGCTGCATGTATCAGCCTTGGTTGCTCTCTCAGTACCGAGGCTCTCACAGCCGGGAGAAATGCAGACTACTGTATTTTCGTTCAAGATGGCATCTGTTAATTGCAGCCCTGAAGAACACGAAGGGAGCCCTTTGTACCTGCGGGAATTTTAAATTTTACGCTGTATCTATAAATAACCCTGATTACAATGCACACTATCAATAAAACAACCCTGGTTGTGATGCGCAGTTTAAGGGTTAAAGAGAGCTTACACTTACATAGAAGACAACATCCTGGACGCTGTACCACTGCTGAATCTCACTGAGACCATAAAAATTTACGGTGATGACATAGTGAGTGTAGCGCAGGTAGCCTAGGTGCATCACTGTCACTTCTCCACAATCTCGCTGGTCACACTCCAGACTGCGACTCCTGCACACAAGCCATTGACCATTTGGACGTTTAATAAGCAGAATGTTTGATGCTGAGTTAATGAACTTACTGGTGAAACCAGTATAGTAAAAGGGAATATTTAATCATCTATTTACACATTTATATATAATTGCATTTTATAGAACACACACATATATATATATACAGTGGATAAAGAATTGGGAGCACCATCAAATGCCTCAATCGTACATTTTCTTATCTTTCTCTATCTTGATCCCCACTTGCGTACATACTTTTTACACACCCAGTCATCTACCTGAACTTGAATCATCCTGTAAACCCATACCAACTTATCATCCCATTGACTCATTCCCACTAATCTTCTTGTAAATGCATTCCTATTCATCTTCCTGTAAACACATTCCTACTCATCTTAGAATTATTCATCCTTTCCACACTTATCTCATTCATATCTGTGGCAATTCCCTTTTAGAAGTGCAAAAATTATTATCATGGCTCATTAACAGTAAAATACTCTTACTTACCGGTTGTGTGGTTGGTCGGCAGCAAGAACAGTTTCCATCTTGTGCTCTCTAGTGAGACCCTCAATAGCAACACTTAGGTGAAACTCCTTACGGAACGATTGTTCTGTGCATGAGCAAGAATAACACTATGTAAATGCAATAGCTGATGTTGAAAGAAGCAAAGGATACAAAACATAGTTCACTTAATACTCTGATCAGTAGAAAGAAGCACTCAATAAAGATTTCAATGAACATAAAAGTGGATCAGTAGTGCATTGAAGGACACTGTATTACTTGGAATGTTTAGTCATCCTTACTGTTAACATTTATAAAAAAAAAAAAAATGTTAGGAACCAGTTCGAATTTTGTAAGGGGAAGGAGCAAGATGAATCACTGTAAGGTCACAAAGCTTGTAAGCCATACCCTAGAGTACAAACTTGCGAAACCCAACCTTACTTTCTTATTTACTGTATAGGTACGTTACTTTAAGTAAGCGATGTAGAACCAATAGGCAGTTATAAACACTTAAAAAAAAAAAACAGAATGACCATGTGGGACCGGTATCATAATTTTGCATTAGCGGAACTCAAAAAACAACCAAAGTGTGTGCATTACATTTACTTAAACACAGGAAAAGTGATAATACACACAAGGAAAAATCTCACTCACCAGATTACCGAATACAGTTCTCGACACCCAGATATAAATAGAGGTCAATACTTTCATAAGCACAACCACCACAACCTGTATGGTTGTGGAAATCACCACTACCCCTGCCCAACCCCAAGGGTGAGGCAAACGCCAAGTGACAGAGACCCCTATGGGAGCAAGTCCTGAATGCCCTGGGGAGGAAAACCCTGAACATGCAAGGGTAGTACTTACCTTAGGCATCTAGGGAAGTGAGCCCTAGACACATGCAGCCCTGCGTACTGAAGAACACCTGGCTACCACAACCACCCCACACAACTGGCACAGCAACTCGGGCAAAATCCAGACAGGAAAGCGAAACCACAGAAACCAGACGTGTAAAGTGGAAGAGGAAGTCGAACCAGCAAGGTACCTCACTGGCCCGACCTGCTGAAAGAGGCAGAGCCGCAGAAAAAAATCCGATTTCGGACACCGAGCAAGCAGCGCCTGAAACCAAGGTTGGGCCGGTCACCATGGAGCCAAGAGAAGGACACTTCCGAGAGGATGCTAGCCTAGATAGAACTTGGAATAACTAGACCGGGGAAAAGAGGGACAGGAACCGCAGTTCGACCAGTCCTACCAAAAAGCATTGACCACTAGAGCCTCGCAGTCGGTAATGGCGCCAAGTACAATGGGAGATGCCGAGACCACACCGATTTAAAGAGATCCCCCTCTGGGTGCCCGTACGTCCAGTAAAGCCAGAGGAAGGAATCGGCATCCACCGTCCACTCAGTGGAAAAAGGAATAAAGCGTAACAGGCCATCTGCCAGGATGTTGAATACCCCACGAATGTGAACAGCATTAAGAGCTAAACCCCGAGAACTGAGCAGAAGAGCCACAGGAAGCGACCAGCCCAGAGCCGGTTGGCCGAGCGGACAGCATGCTGGACTTGTGATCCTGAGGTTCTGGGTTCGATCCCAGGCGCCGGCGAGAAACAATGGGCAGAGTTTCTTTCACCCTATGCCCCTGTTACCTAGCAGTAAAAATAGGTATCTGGGTGTTAGTCAGCTGTCACGGGCTGCTTCCTGGTGGTGGAGGCCTGGTCGAGGACCGGGCCGTAGGGACACTAAAAGCCCCTAAATCATCTCAAGAAGAATCTCAAGAAGATAGCCCTAGAGCCACAGACCAAAGAGACCCCCCCCCCCACCCTCTCCTAGTTGAGACAATGAACCACAGGGAAGCAGTTTGAATGAAGCCGGATCACAGAGCCCCGAGGAAGCCGAATCCTCCACAAGGGCTGCCACACAGGCACAAACCCCCCACACCGTGCTATGAGCTTGAAGGAAGGACTGTCCCAAATGCCCCTGGTTGGCCAGGTGAGTGCTGGTCACAAAGCCCCAACCGAGAAACGAGGCATCCCTAAATACATCAAGCGATGGGCGAGATAGGCGCCATGGCACCAAACCCCCCAAAAAATCCAAAGCAACTGGTGCAAGGACACCGTGGAACGAACCCAGCGATCGTGAGAGCGGGGAAAGAGGCCGCACCTGAGATACCAAAACAGTCTCTGAGGCCAAACCTTGCCCAGTGGATAAATCAGCAGAGCAGAGTTCAGGCTCCCTATTTAGCAGTAAATAGGTACCTGGGAGTTAAACAGCTGCTACGAGCTGCTTCATGGGGATGTATAACAAAGAGGAGGCCTGGTCGAAGACCAGACAGCGGGGACGCTAAGCCCCGAAATCATCTCGAGATAACCTCAAGATAACCTCCCGCAAAGCTGCATGAGCAACCACCAAGTGACCTGGGTAACCCCCAAAAACAGCTAGAGGAGGGGGACTGCAACCAGCAGAGCAAAGCCGCAGGAGAGAGAGGCTTGAACGCACTCCAAGAATCCTGTACTAGGCCCCAGCCAAGTCCAAACACGGGACTGAACCAACTGAAACTTCCGCCAAGTTGCCAGGAACCCGAACCTGGCAAGCTGGGGGAAGAACCAAATCCCCAGCTAGCAGACAAATCGACCTGCCAGGAGCCCACACCAAACAGATGTCGAGGTAGTCTGTGGAACCTCGTAATGCTATCAAAACCGGATCACACACAGGCTTAAACCAGGTCTCGCAGGAGGTTTGCAGGAGGTACGCACCAAGGGCCTCCCGAACCTCCGCAGGGGTTATCTTGAGGTTACTGTATCTTGAGATGATTTCGGGGCTTTTTTTTTTAGTGTTCCTGCGGCCTGGTCATTGACCAGGCCTCCATCCCTAGGAAGCAGCCCATGACAGCTGACTAACACCCAGGTACCTATTTTACTGCTAGGTAACAGGGGCATAGGGTGAAAGAAACTCTGCCCATTGTTTCTCGCCGGCGCCTGGGATCGAACCCAGGACCACAGGATCACAAGTTCAGTGTGCTGTCCGCTCGGCCGACCGGCTCCCACCGGCTCGACCCTCGGGGTAAGCCGAGAGGAAGAAAACCTCCGAAAACACAAATCCTAGGAACCTAAGGGCACCCAGAAACGAACCCGTGTCCTCACCTACTGCATTTGATGGCGGAGACGACGCAGATCATAATTTTTCTGGGAGAGCCCTGTTGGCTCCCTGTAGCTATCCAGGCTGAATGGATATGTATAACTTCCTGGCACCAGTCAGTGTGCATGGAGTTCTTGCCTACCAGGGACCACGAGCCAGAAGCTGGCCCCCCTCAGAGAGGTGCTTGGAGCAAGGGGCCTATAGAAATCCCCCCATGTGGTTGGGAGCATTCTATGTCTGCCATCGACCGGGTCAGACACCCAGAGAGGTAGATGTCCCAAAACAAACCGCCTATTCTGGTGAAACTATTGCTACCGAAAGCTGAACAAGTGGACAGAACTTCCCCAAACGAAAATTAGCAAACTAGCATGAAGTCATCATGTGCAGGCGATGAGTCACAATAACGTGGCTGAAGTATGTTGCCCAATCCACACACTAGAAAATGAAGGGACGACGACCTTTCGGTCCGTCCTGGACCATTCTTAAGTCGATTGTGACAATCGATTGTCACAATTGACTTGAGAATGGTCCAGGACGGACCAAAACCTCGTATTCCCTTCATTTTCTAGTGTGTGGATTGGTCAACATGAAGTCATCACGTTTGCCGCACTGCCGTCTGCGCAATCACCCCATCCCCGGGAGGAGGAAGGGGGAGCCCCAGGCCCCCTCATGCCAGCGATTGAACTGGCAGTTCTTGGCTGATCCGATTCTGGAGAAGTCGTGTGCCTCTGGCTCCTTTTTTTTGTCTCAGTTCTGTGCCTTGTGGTGTGGCCTGTCTCTACAGGTGGTGTGTGAGCCAGGAGTAATATTCCACAGTACTCGGGCTGCATGCACCTAGGGTTTCCCTTCCCTCGGTGCCCAGTAAGTACTGCCCTTGGAGCTTGGTGTTACGGCCCTCTCGGGACGCAACGGGGTTCTCACTCTGATGTTGTTAGAGGAAGATATATGTATCCGTTCCCAAGCCAGTAGTGGCTATCAAGGGATGAGATCCGTGACGCAAGTAACTTAAAAGGGAGTAGGGAAAGAAAGTTAAGAACTTAATATTATAATGTTCACCATCACCGATTAAATATATAGAATAAAAGAGTACACAAGGGGGAGGGGTATTAACACTTTACAAAGGGGATCATGCACAATCTAGTCTTCTGCTGAAGACTCTTGATCAAGAAGCTAGGTGCTGAGTCCGCGGTGCTTTCTTCGTGGCCTCAAGACGTGTCCTCTGAGAATGCCGAGCCTACCCTAGCCACAGGTCAGCCACAACACAGGTCCACTGGGGGCACCATCGTGGAGGCCGTCAACCACACGTCCAGCAGGTTTGCTGGCAGGTACTGAGCCACCAAGGCTGGTACGGCCACTCCACGAACGATAAAAGGGGTACCTCCTAGACAGGAGTCTCGTGTGATATCACAAATCACCCTCCTGTCCTCAATACCCCAGTGGATTATCGTCTCCAACCGTCGGTCCCGGGTAAATCCTTTCACTGCCACTCCACTGGCAGGCTAACACACCACAGTGTTCTTCCGGGGGGACGACGTCACAACAGCTGCAGCAAACTTCACAGTATGGAGACTGGCTGCCTCGGGTAGACTGACTCAACCTTCAACACAGTGGTCCCAGGTCGACTCTGTAAACAGACACGTCATCAATAACCGGGACACTAATACATCTCACTTACGGGCTCGGGCACAAACACCTGACGTATCCAGTCCATAGATGGCGCTGTCGTCGGAGCACCACCTCACCAGAGGTCAGGAGCGGCTGTGTTGTGAGCTGCACAGGACTGGAAACTGGCCCTTGTGGCCGATATTCGCCGTCCTCATCCGGTGTCGTCGTTCGTTTGGCGGGGGTTTCGGGAGCTGACCCACAGATGGCGTAGTTGTTACTGCTCCTTGCTCGGACGCTGGATCCGGGTTCGTAACACCTCCCCACCAAAAAGAATTTGGTTTGGGGTTCTATAAAAAGAAACACAAACCAA